TCAGTCATCTCAGTCATCTCAGCCAGTCATCTCAGTCATCTCAGCCAGTCATCTCAGTCGGTCATCTCAGCCATCTCAGTCATCTCAGTCGGTCATCTCAGTCATCTCAGTCAGTCATCTCAGCCAGTCATCTCAGCCAGTCATCTCAGTCAGTCATCTCAGTCATCTCAGTCGGTCATCTCAGTCGGTCATCTCAGTCATCTCAGCCGGTCATCTCAGTCGGTCATCTCAGCCATCTCAGTCATCTCAGTCAGTCATCTCAGTGAGTCAATGCATGTCAGCGGGCGTGCGGCACTTCACGGGGCCTGAAGGTGCACTTAGCCTGGCACAGGCGGCGTGGCAACATCACCGCCACTTGGTTGGCGAATGGAGTTTGTTGTTGTTGTTGTTGACCTCCGTGTTCCGTGCCAGGCCTTTATAGGGGGGGGGGGGGTTGCTCGGCTCGCTGAACTCCCGAACGGGCTGCACTTGCCCCACATCCACTCAGAGTTCGGCGCAGGGTGCTACCTGGGACAGCTTTGTCTGCGGTTGCGGGCAGTGCCGCGTTGTGGCTCGCATCCAGTCGCCCGAGTGGGGGTGCGGGCCCCCCCCCCGGGCCCACACCCCCACCACCCCCCACCACCCCTCACCCCCCCACACCCCACCTCACCCCCAGGACCCCCACCACCCTCACAAACCCCCCCACCACCACCCCACCCTCACAAACCCCCGCACCCCACCCCCACTACCACCACCCCCACAACCCCCCCACCCCCACCACCACACCCACCACCCCCACCACCACCCCCACCACCACCCCCACCACACCCACAACCACCCGCACTCCACACGCCACCCCCCACCACACTCACAAACCCCTGCCCCCCACCCCCAAACCCCACCACCACCCCACACGCCACCCTCACAAAACCCCGGACCCCCACCACACCCCCCCATCACCCCCACCCCCGGACCCCCCACCACTCTCACCACCCCCCCACACCACCCATCACCACCACCCCCCACCACCCTAACCACCCCCCCCCGCACCCACCCCCCACCACCCCCACCACCCTCACCACCCCCCCCCCGCACCCACCCCCACACCACCACCCCCACCACCCCCCCAGCACCCACCCCCACACCCCCATCACCCCCACCACCCTCACCACCCCCCCCCGCACCCACCCCCACACCCCCATCACCACCACCCCCCCAGCACCCACCCCCACACCCCCATCACCCCCACCACCCTCACCACCCCCCCCCATCACCCACCCCCACACCCCCACCACCCTCACCACCCCCCCAGCACCCACCCCCACACCCCCATCACCCCCACCCCCACCACCCTCACCACCCCCCCGCACCCACCCCCACACCCCCCCCCCACCACCCCCACCACTCTCACCACCCCCCCAGCACCCACCCCCACACCCCCATCACCCCCACCACCCTCACCACCCATCACCCCCACCACCCTCACCACCCATCACCCCCACGACACCCCCCCACCACCCCACCCCCACACCCCCATCACCCCCACCACCCTCACCATCCATCACCACCACCCTCACCACCCCCCCACCACCCCCACCCCCACCCCGCGTGCACTCCTCAATGCGCGTTCCGGGGCGCCTTTTGTTGCAGACGTCTCGCGCCTCAAGGGTGAGTTGGACCGCTCGCTCGCTCGCTCCTCACCCGCCACACAAACACTCGCCCCTCACCACCCCTCACCACCAACAACCTCGCTCCACCACCGAGGGACGACTCGACGCGACTCGCCATAAACAGAGAAATGTTTCTGTGATTTGAGACGAGTTCGGCGGTAGCCCCCCCCCACCCCGAGTAGGCCTCATCGAGAAGGGACAGCCTCGGGCTTGCCTGAGCTCGCCCGCCCGGCGACGAGGCGCCTCGCCCGGGGGCCGCGCTGCGTTTCGTGGCCGTGGTTATCGCGATCGCGGTCGCCGTACGCGCCTTGTGACACGTTCAGCGGATATTTTACCGCAAATACGAATTTAAATGTTGACTTGAAACTTTCGTGACTGCAGGAATTAATATTATTAGTTTTATTTTAGGTATGTTCACGTAGATAGAAACATATACATCTACGCGACTAGACCGAACGAACCAAAGAATATGCAAACACGAAGGCGCGTTCTTGTGCCAAGGTTGCGTGTGACCACATTTTGGCGTGACTTTGTTGACACTTTCGAAAGTGCAATACGCCTGCGTTGAAAGCGCAATACGCCTGCGTTTTAAACGCGGGCATTGCCGAGCTAAGCGCCGCTGTGCTGTATTGGAGGAGTGAGTGCGACACGTGTATCTGTGTGTGTGGGGGGGCGCGTGTGTGTGTGTGACACGTGTCTGTGTGTGACACGTGTCTGTGTGTGTGTGACACGTGTGTGACACGTGTCTGTGTGTGTGTGACACGTGTCTGTGTGTGTGTGACACTTGTGTGACACGTGTCTGTGTGTGTGACACGTGTGTGACACGTGTCTGTGTGTGTGACACGTGTCTGTGTGTGTGACACGTGTCTGTGTGTGTGACACGTGTCTGTGTGTGTGACACGTGTCTGTGTGTGTGACACGTGTCTGTGTGTGTGACACGTGTCTGTGTGACACGTGTGTGTGTGTGTGGGACACGTGTGTGTGTGTGTGGAGGGGACACGTGTGTGTGTGTGTGGAGGGGACACGTGTGTGTGTGTGACACGTGTGTCTGTGTGTGTGTGTGACACGTGTCTGTCTGTCTGTGTGTGTGACACGTGTGTGTGTGTGACACGTATGTCTGTGTGTGTGACACGTGTCTTGAGTGTGACACGTGTGTGACACGTGTCTGTGTATGTGTAACGCGTGTGTGTGTGGGGCACGTGTGTGTGTGGGACGCACGTGTCTATGTGTGTGCGTGTGTGACACGTGTCTGTGTGTGTGTGTGAGACACGTGGCGGTAATGTAGCGGTTAGCGCGCTGCACTACGAAGCCGGCTACCCGAGATCACGGCCAACACCAGTGACGATTATTTGAACCGATCCTGGGCCTCCTCCCCTAGGTCTACTCGGCCTCAAATCAGTACAGGGTGCGATATATAAACATCGGCACGAGGGAGACAAAGGCGGCCGGGCGTTGTGTTGGCTACCTCGTGTGCCGTGCCGGCCTTCATCGGTGCTATACGGGGGATATTTCTCTGTGTGACACGTGGCTATCGGTTTAGTCTTTCTCATTTACCTTTAAATGTCCCTCCCTACCTACATCATAGTGAACACATTACGACCCCATATAACACTCGCTCACTCGCTGTGTGCAATTAACACGTTAATGAAGGTGCACACAGCATGGGGAGCGGTGATGTAGTGGTTAACAGGGCGACAATATGCTTACGAATCAGCGAATGCAGGGGGCTATTTTATTATTCATCGATTACGAATCAGCGAATGCAGGGGGCTATTTTACTGGTAGGAACGAAGTGGACCAGACCACCAATAGATTAATGTGTCCGTCCGTCCGTCCGTCCGTGGGAGGGGTGGTGTTGAGGGTGGTGTTGGAAATGAAAGACTACGAGTCTTTAAATCTCACAGCGTTTCTTGTCAAAACAAACACTTTGAATTAACGTTACACTAGAATACAGTAATTTTTTCTTTAACTCCTCTATACCCGGTCGATATCTCTGTACCGGTACTAAGTATTATTCCTACCAGCCCACCCCGCAGGGTCCTCTTATTATTCATCGATGAACTGTCTAAGTGACGTTCCCGATAGAATGTAAATTGATTACGACGATCGATATTGATCGGCGTGTATTGGGAATGTAATCGGATTTTATCGGGTGTAATGAATGTTTTGCGACCTAGGAGCGGTGGTGCAGTGGTTAGCGCACTGCCCTACGAACCGCCTGCATCATCAGTGGCGAGTGATTCCCGGACCCGTTTCTGGCCGCCAACCCTTCAAACCCACACTGGCGGTGGTGTGGTGAAGTATGGTCACCACAAGCCCCATAATCCGTACGGCTTGGGCTTTATCCAGCAGTGGATAAACAAAGCGTCTGTACTTAATCACCTTTTTTTTTTATCGCAAAGGTTAATAACGTGCATGCTTTTGGTATAGGTTGTGTGTGTATAGGTTTTTGATATAGCGCATATTGTAAACCTGCTCATTCAATATTCGTACACGTGCACTGCTTCCGTTGTATGAACAAATAAGAATAGGTTTGACCCGTTCTGGTAATAAAACAGGAGGTGTTAAGATGTTCAAACGCCAAATAAAAACCTTTTGCAAGGAATACAGTCTGCATTAACCACGTACTCGTGGTGAACATGCAAACAAACATGCTCGGATAATATATGGGTATTGTCTTTGAGAATGATTGGCCCGCACCAGAGACGGCAGCTTTCTTTAGGGCCTTGTCTCAGCAGTGTCAGACCAGAGGATGCCAAAATGCGAACAGCACAAGGACAATGCACTATCAGAGCATTTCTAGCTAGGGGTGAGCAGCTATGAAATGGGATCTTTTTTCCAGTATCAAAGTAATAATAATAGTTCTAGATTTGAAGTTTTCGTGACTGCAATGATCCATACTTTTTTTTTGGTAAAGTCCCGTAGGTAAAAAATAAAATAAATAAAAATGAAAACAACTAAACTACAGCAATTTTGCTGTGGCGGTTCCACCTGGGGATGGAGGCTTGTGTTGCTTCCGAAACGTCGTGATTTAATTTAGTTGTTTTCATTTTAATTTCTTTAATTTTTTACCTACGTGACTTTACCGAAAAAAACATAAAGTAGTAATAATAGGTTTCACCCTTGATGTTTTATTGGCAGAAAGGGTAAAACCTGTTATAATTTTTTCATACTTTAATACTGGCAAAGCGGTCCACCTTTATGCTTCAGTTGTGTCGAGTGCATGCAGTCACGCAGGTGGAAATGCAGTTAAGTAGCTGATTGATTAATGGGGGTTTTTCTTACCAGTACCGCCGGACAGTCCTCAAGCTTTGTACTTATGTGTACCGCCCTTTGTCAACCCATTCCTGGATGAACGCTTCTCCACGTCACGCGGATTTGTCCGTGGCTGTTTGACCGTACCTCTCCACGCCGGTCAGTGTACACGTGTGCACTCGCCATCGGTGACTTCCTCTTCAAATGAGCATTGGGTGCTCATCCCTCCCATTTACAGCCCTGAGCCAGTGGTGGGTATTCCACGTTCCTATGGCAGGGGTGAGTCTGTCCACAGCTTAACCAACTGTCGACTTGCCTACAGAGCGGCGTCTCGTTTTTACAGACCTCGGAGAGATAACCATACCTCGGAGAGATAACCATGCCTCGGAGAGATAACCATACCGCACCAAACTTGTCGGTGTAGATGAGTGGGCAAAGTGTCAACAATTCAAGGTGGTTAGCCCGTATGTTTAAACCCTTTCTTGTTCGTCCGATGTGTGTTCTCCTCTCTCTTTCTGTGTGAAATCCGACACTTGTGTTTCGCCACGCTCCCGCATAGGCTGTTTATCCCAGGCCCTGCTCTGAGCAGAGGAGGGAGAGGCCGCATGGTTTCTCTTGGCAGGTGGCTCTCTCACCCTGCCTCGAGACAAAGGCTGTCACCCGCGATATTCGTGGAAGATAAATATCTGTACGTATGCATAATAGGGTTGGGTTTTTTTGGTTGGGTTAGATCGCGTAAGTATAAATTTGTGTCATTAAAGCCGCCACCCCCGTCACGTAATCAGTGTGCCAATTCGATGTGAGTTCAGCACACCGGTGTGTTGGAGAGTAAACCAAGGTGTGAAAACCACAGCAAGAAAATTTTCTTGCTGTGGTTTTCACACTTGATGATGATTGCTTGTGTTGCAATCGAAACGTCGTGAGAATTTTATTGTTTTATATTTTTATTATTTTATTGTTTCTCTTCTACGTGACTTTACCGAAAGAACCAAGAATGCGAATCCCTGCAGTCACGAAAGCTTTAAGTCAAAACGTTTCGCCGCTAATGAAAACCATCCTCGTGAAGCAACAGCCAGAGTCGTGGAGAAATCCTCATGTTTCGGTCTTAAATAATTACCGGGCGAAACGTCATACTCGAATTGTAAATGTTTACTCTCCAACACACCCGTGTGTTTGCTGAACTAATAACGAATTGCCATGTTGTGTTTGCGTGACAAACCTTGCTAATCGGCTTTGTCAGGTGGAGGCGGGTTTAACGACAGATTTATATTTACGCGATTTAACCAAAAAAAAACCTCATTGATAATATTGGTCGCAAAAGCCTCTTACTACGTGTACGTACTTTGTGTGTTTTCACCCGTACACGGGCAATCGCTATTGCGATCGTGCGATAGGCAGCGGATCGGGCGCTCGATGAAGCTGCCTCGTGGCTTGGCGCGAGTGGGCACGATAAATAAATAGCTGGCGTGATCACGACATGGCTCTTTGACGTTGGCGTTGCATGTGTAAGGCTGTTAATGCCGGCGGCCAACCCTTTGTGTGTGTGTGGTAGCCTGCCAGAAGTCGTAACGACTTCACAGGCAGGCCAAGTTTATAAGTAACAGAGCCACTGACAACCGACTTGGTCGGTGACGCCACCAACGGATTGGAAGGCATCGGAGCATTCGAATTTAGATTGGTGCAAAGGGAAGAGGCGGGAATATTAAAATAATTAGTGCTCACAATTTCGATTTAAAGCTTTCGTGACTGCAGGGATTCATCTTCTTGGTTTTTTCGGTAAAGTCACGTAGAAGGGAAATAATAAAATAATAAAAATAAAACATTAAAATAATACAATGATTTTATTATGTTTTATTTTTATTATTTTTAAAATATACTAATAAAAAATAAAACATAAAATAATTGTATTATTTTAATATGTTTTATTTTTATTATGTTTTATTACTTTATTATTTCCCTTCTACGTGACTTTACCGAAAAAACATAGAAGAAAAAAGTGCTCACAAGTATTGGCATCACATCTGCCCCCCTCTGGAACGAAACAGGAAGGTTCCTTCACAAATGTGGCTGTCGCCTGATGAAGCTAGTTGTGTAATTACTGACGAAACGTCGTACTCCGATTGTAAATGTTGTAGTTTTGCTCTCCAACTAGTAACGAATTGGCCACGTTCTGTTTACGTGACAAACCTTACTAACTGGCTGTGCCGGGTGGTGGCGGGTTTAACGACACATTTATATATTTACACAATCTAACCCAGCACCAAAAAACCTCTGTTATTACATGCATTTTATTAACTCACTCTGTCTGTTGTTGTATCCTCAAATCTTGAAACTCAATTTTTACCCACTTCCCAATGTGGTATCGACTGCAAACTTGGTATTCGTATGTCATACTGATGACAATACTATATTCTATCATTGAAAATAAAAATATATTTTTTTACATGATTTTTTATATGTTATGTTTCGGCTTGGGTCTAATTGTCCACGCTCAACTGACGTTGGCCTTAAATGACCACGGTCCCTTACGTTATGGCAAGCCTCGGGGCCACTTCCTGGAGTCGTGGAGTTCTTCCATTACTAGTATGGTACATTTCATTAAAGCGTGTTTAAATTTTTTTTTAAATATTACTTATGGTTGATAACTGTTGGGAAAGGGAAAAGGGGATTGGAAGAAAGGTGAGAATCTTCTAGAAAAAGGGGGGGGGGCGAGAAAGATCTCGGGGCGCATTCGGGAGTGAAGCCTCTATAAGTATGGTCTCTCTGTTTCTGCACATTATCTGCAGATAAACAATAAAGTTGAGCTCGTTCGAAGTCCTTTTCGCGCATGTCGGCCAATGAGGGCTGTAATTCAGACATCAATTACACTGGTCAACAAAAAATACATTTTTTTCTGGCCTGGACTTTTTAGACTAATTTCAGGGTGCTGATTCCAAATCTGATGACAGATTTGCTATATCACATCTCATTTTTATGCTATCGGCATACCCCATTTTCATTGATTTTACCTGAAATTAACTCTGTCACTTATGATTGCAAGTTGTTGCGAGTCAGTGACTGCTTTAGTGTTAAAATATGGTGCTGTATATTTAGAATAGTGTGTTTATAATATCATTTTATGTAGATATCCACATTTATTTAATATTTTTCTTCCGCAGTTTTTATTGAAAATGCAATATTTGATATCTCAAAAACCTGATGCGATAGACAAAAAACTGATGCCAGATTTGGAATCGGCACCCCAAAATTACCTTAACACCATTGGAATACCTTATGCCAGAAAAAGTGTGTTGACCAGTGTTTTTATTCATCCACCTCGCTCGCGGGATTCCACCGTGTGGAGCGTGTTCGGACTGACTCGCTACGTCGTCCACGCTGGGATGGGAGCAGCGGTGGTGGGTTCTTGCTTCACGTAGCCAGCGCTTGTGATCAGCCGGAAACCGTTTGGGATTCTGTTCCGGGGACTTATTTTGGGACCCATCCACATCCATCTCGCCTTATGTTGTCCTCCCAATCTTCATGAACCCGTTCATTGGATTTTAATAACATCGGGTATAATAATAAGATGTGCTCATTATGGATAGGCATACCTCTAATCTAGTGTTAGTGCCTTACGCCGGTAATCTCTACTCCAAGCCAGTCCAGCAAGCGTCCTGAAAAATATCGAGAGAGATATTAAACCCTTTGTGCGTGCCAAACCCCAACCCCTCATGTGCCGTGACGGCCTTCATAGGTGCTCGCTAACAGCACTTGTCCCAAAAGTCTGTTTAGGCTATAAGGCGGGTATTTGTCTTTGTGTCAAACCAATGACTTCCTCTATCAAAAACTCGTTTTAAAAGTTTTTTTTAAACAACGGTTTTATTAACAGCTTCGTTTAACTCGCGGTCTTTGAGAAGTGCGTCAATAGCGCCTGAGACACGCGGCGCCTGCGTTTTGTGGGAGACGATTCGACACTTTAGGGACCGCGGCGTTTTTGATCTACACACAAATATATATAAATAATAAGGCTCATAATCAACGTTTTTGTGTTAGATCGCGTTATTTATAAATGTGTCGTAACCCTCCACCACCCGACACGGCCAATCAGTAAAAAAGTGTCACGTTGACAAAAGACAAAATTGTAAATGTTGTGGTTTCACGCTTCAACACACCGGTGGGCTAAAGCAGTGAACTATTTGTCTTTTGTCAACGTGACACTTTTTTGCTGATTGGCCGTGTCGGGTGGTGGAGGGTTACGACACATTTATAAATAATGCGATCTAACCCAAAAACGTTTATTATGAATAATATTGGTCGCGAAAGCCTACGTGTAAAAGCAAATAATAAGGCGTCCATACAATATGTAAATTGCTTTAAAGTAGCGAATTAACTGATTGATGCCGATTTTGATACAAGCATGCATTGTCACCGGATCTGAGCACGTGTGCAAAATGTGGAATTGATTGGACAACGGGAAGTTGACGAAATTTTGATGACAAGATTTGACCAGACAAACAGAGGAATCAAGTTAAGTAAAATCGTTGAATAAGCCACAATTTTCTAAAACGAATTATCTTTTGACTTGTGTAAGGGTTATACAGATAGTCCCCGAGTTCCGATATTTCGATCTTACGATGGCGATACGACAAAATTGTAAATATTTTAAATTTCGCGCGGCAGGCAAACGCAGCAGCGTACGAGGTACGATGCTGTACGTTGGAACGCTGCCGGGATGTACGCATCTCTCGCCTTTCTATTAAATTGCAGTTCATATAGGTAGGCTAAGAATTTACCTTGTTGTTTTACTTTACATTTTACTGTGCAATACAGCAGAGGTGTGGACTCGAGTCATGTGACTTGGACTCGAGTCAGACTCGAGTCATGAATTTGATGACTTCAGACTCGACTTGGACTTGCGTAACAATGACTTTGTCCCACCTCTGAGGTGTGGACTCGAGTCATGTGACTTGGACTCGAGTCAGACTCGAGTCATGAATTTGATGACTTCAGACTCGACTTGGACTTGCGTAACAATGACTTTGTCCCACCTCTGAGGTGTGGACTCGAGTCATGTGACTTGGACTCGAGTCAGACTCGAGTCATGAATTTGATGACTTCAGACTCGACTTGGACTTGCGTAACAATGACTTTGTCCCACCTCTGAGGTGTGGACTCGAGTC